TTTAAATAAAAATTAAAAATAGAAAGCAAGAAAAATATCAGAGGGGCCTGGAGACATGACTTGAGCAAAGAAAAGTTATTTAGAGCCAGAATTCTGCATGTTCATTCGACCTTTATTTTGAAATTGCATTTTTTTTATTTTTTAAAAAAAAATTGGGCCCAAAATTGAAAATTTTCGACCACATTATTGGGTATTGAAATCGTAAAGGGCATTTCTTGTACTAAATCGATAAAAAAATGGAGTTCTAAAGAAATAGCTATGATTTGGGCGACTGAACAATGGAATTCCGAAAATGGGGCTCAAAGGGGGCGAAATCGCCGATTTGAAAACAGCCCGAGTTCGCTAACTTCGGGGCAAAATTCCGTCATTTTCCATCAAATTTCTTTTTTTTTGGTGTCATTACAATCGGGAAAAGATTCTCCTATCATTTTATAAGAAAAAATAATTTTTTTTTTTTTAAATTTTTGCGACACCAGAACACCTCAGATTGGGGGTTGCGACATTTAAAGGGTTAAATACCAGCTTAAAAACAAAAACGAAAAATTTTATTTCTTTGAAGATTACAGTGTGTTTTTTACTTTTCATAATTGATTGGTACGAAGAAACCCAACTACCCAAAGACCATTGAGGAAAATTTTGGGCCTACATCGGGCTGCAAACCCAACACATACCCAAGAAGTTTAAACCTAAATTTTATTTTGAAAAAACAGTCAATTAACCCCCCCCAATTTTTACAATTTTAAATTTTTATTTCAATAATATTTAAAATTTTTTCTGTGCTGGCTTTTTCAAATGTAAAAAAAAAAAAATTTTTTTCCTTGTAACTTTATAAAATTTTTAAAAATTTAGTTTTTTTTAAATATTTGTTTTTTTTGGGAGAATTTTAACTTTGTTGAGCTTTTTGAATGGTACATTTTTTTTCAATGCACTCCTATCTCCCCTAAGATGGGGAAACCAAAAAAGGGGAAACACTTTTAACCATGACTCGTTTCATCACTGTTTTAAAAAAAAAAAATTTACAGGGGACCCCCCGGTTTTTACTATTATTTCATTCCAGAAGCATTTCGGGGTGCAGTACGATGAATTTGTTCACAAAAGGAAATTTTGTGAATTAATTAGTCCATTTAAACCCCCCAAACATATACAAAAAACGCACTTACAAAAATACATTTACAAATTGGTCGCATTGGAGGTGTTCGTAAACCGGGGGTCCCTGAAATAATATGTTAGGGTTTGGGAGACAGCAACCGCCCAGGGGAAAACTACGCCTGCCCAATGAGTGTAAAACGGGAAACCCCGTAATTGTTTTTCATGATGGTAGGATTGCTGGTGTCCTTTTTTTCTTCTCAAAAAAAATCAAGATTTCAGGGAAGTCTTTCTACTTCACTTTCACTTAGGTCACACTACACATACAAAAAATGTAATTACACACTTCTCGGTTTTTTTCTATTTTCTTCATTTCTTGTTTTTGTTTTATCTCCTCTTTTTCTTTATTCGAAGTGGAACAAATTCCCTCTGTAAACCATGCTGTTGTAGAGGCGACTATAACCGGGGGCAAGGGGGTGTAACCCCTTTTCCTGTAAAATTACTAAATTTAAAAAGAGAAACTTTCGTTTTTCTTTTTGGGCCACCTTGTCTTGGTGGGATACGGCCGGTTTGTTGAAAGAATAATAATAATAATAATAATTTTATTTCTATCTGTACATGTACAACAATGGGCTAGTAACCCCTTTTCCTGTAAAGATTACTAAAAAGAATAAGAAGAAGAAAATTGTCAAAGTGGGAAGTCTGAATGTGCGTGGATGTTGTGCAAATGATAAGAAAGAGATGATTGTGGATGTTATGAATGAGAAAACTGATGTCCTGGCTTTAAGTGAAACAAAGCTGAAGGGGGTGGGAGAGTTTCAATGGAGAGGAGTAAATGGGATTAGGTCAGGGGTTTCAAATAGAGTTAGAGCTAAGAAGGAGTACAATAATGTTGAAGGATAAGCTATGGCAGGAAAAGAGGGACTACAAATGTATAAATTCAAGGATTATGGGGAGTAAAATAAAGATTGGATGTGAAAAGTGGTTATAGTAGCGTGAAATGCACCTGGAGAAGAGAGAAGTGTAGAGGAGAGAGAGAGATTCTGGAAATGTTGAGTGAATGCGTGGGGAGTTTTGAATCAAGTGTGGAGTAATGGTGGTTGGGGATTTCAATGCAAAAGTGGGTAAAATGTTATGGAGGGAGTAGTAGGTAATTTTTTGGGTGCCAGGGGTAAATGTAAATAGGGAGCCTTTAATTGAGCTATGTGTAGAAAGAAATTTGGTAATAAGTAATACATATTTTATGAAAAAGAGGATAAATAAATATACAAGGTATGATGTACACGAATGAAAGTAGTTTGTTAGATTATGTATTGGTGGATAAAAGGTTGATGGGTAGGCTCCAGGATGTACATGTTTATAGAGGGGCAACTGATATATCGGATCATTATTTAGTTGTAGCTACAGTTAGAGTAAGAGGTAGATGGGAAAAGAGGAAGGTGGCAACAACAAGTAAGAGGGAGGTGAAGTGTTAAACTAAGGGAGGGAGGAAGTTCGGGTGAGATTAAGCGACTATTGGCAGAAAGGTGGGCTAGTGCAAAGATGGATAGTGGGGGGGTTGAAGAGGGGTTTGGAATAGTTTTAAAAATGCAGTATTAGAATGTGGGGCAGAAGTTTGTGGTTATAGGAGGGTGGGGGCAGGAGGAAAGAGGAGTGATTGGAATGATGAAGTAAAGGGTGTGATAAAAGAGAAAAAGGTAGCTTACGAGAGGTTTTTACAAAGCGAAGTGTTATAAGAAGAGCAGAGTAATGGAGAGTAAAAGAAAGGGAAGAGAGTGGTGAGAGAGTGCAAAAGGAGAGCAGATAAAGAGTGGGAGAGGGACTGTCAAGAATTTTTTTGAAAATAAGAAAAAATTTTGGAGTGAGTTAAAAAAGTTAAGAAAGCCTAGGGAAAGTATGGATTTGTCAGTTTTAAAAAAAAGAGTAGGGAGTTAGTAGATGGGGAGAGGAGGTATTAGGTAGATGGCGAGAATATTTTGAGGAACTTTTAAATGTTAAGGAAGAAAGGGAGGCGGAAATTTTCATGCACGGGCCAGGGAGGTATACCATTTTTTAGGGGGGGGTGAAGAAGAGCAGAATGTAAGTGTGGTGGAGTACGTGAGGCATTACGTAGAATGAAAGGGGTAAAGCAGCTGGAACTGATGGGATCATGACAGAAATGTTTTTAAAAGCAGGGGGGATATAGTGTTGGAGTGGTTGGTACTTTTTTTTTAATAAATGTATGAAAAGGGGAAGGTACCTAGGGATTGGCGGAGAGCATGTATAGTCCCTTTATATAAAGGGAAAGGGGACAAAAGAGATTGAAAAAATTATAGAGGAATAAGTTTACGGAGTATACCAGGAAAAGTAACGGTAGGTTATATTGAAAGAATTAGGGTAAGACAGAATGTAGAATTGCGGACGAGCAAGGAGGCTTCAGAGTGGGTAGGGATGTGTAGATAAATGTTACATTGAAACATATATGTGAACAGTATTTAGATAAAGGTAGGGAAGTTTTATTGCATTTATGGATTTAGAAAAGGCATATGATAGAGTGGGTAGAGGAGCAATGTGGCAGATGTTGCAAGTACAGTGGACCCCGTTTAACGATATTTTTTATTCCAGAAGTATGTTCAGGGGCCAGTACTGACCGAATTTGTTCCCATAAGGAATATGTGAAGTAGATTATCCCTTTCGGACCCCCCAAAAATACCGTACAAAACGCACTTTCATAAATCACTTACATAATTGGTCGCATTGGGGGGTGATCGTTAAGCGGGGGTCCACTGTATATGGAATAGGTGGTAAGGTTTCTAAATGCGTAAAGACTTTATGAGGATAGTGAGGCTCAGGTTAGGGTGTGTAAAGAGAGGAGAATACTTCCCGGTAAAAGTAGGTCTTAGACAGGGATGTGTAATGTCACCATGGTTGTTTAATATATTTATAGATGGGTTGTAAAAAAGTAAATGCTAGGGTGTTCGGGAGAGGGTGGGATTAATTATGGGAATAAAATTTCAAAATGGGAATTGACACAGTTACTTTTGCTGATGATACTGTGCTTATGGGAGATTCTAAAGAAAAATTACAAAGGTTTTAGTGGATGAGTTTGAGAATGTGTGTAAAGGTAGAAAGTTGAAAGTGAACATAGAAAAGAGTAAGGTGAGGGAGGGTATCAAGATTTAATAAAGAAAAATTGGATATCAAATTGGGAGGAGGAGTATGGAAGAAGTGAATGTTTTCAGATACTTGGATTGACGTGTCGGCGGATGGATTTATGAAGGATGAGGTTAATCATAAAAATTGATGAGGGAAAAAAGGTGAGTGGTGCGTTGAGGTAATGTGGAGTCAAAAAACGTTATCTATGGAGGCAAAGAAGGGAATGTATGAAGTATAGTAGTACCAACACTCTTATGTGGATGTGAAGCTTGGGTGGTAAATGCAGCAGCGAGGAGAGGGTTGGAGGCAGTGGAGATGTCCTGTCTAAGGGCAATGTGGGTGTAAATATTATGCAAAAAAATTCGGAGTGTGGAAATTAGGAGAAGGTGTGAGTTAATAAAAGCATAGTCAAGGGCAGAAAGGGTTGTTGAGGTGGTTTGGTCATTTAGAGAGAAGGGATCAAAGTAGAATGACATGGAAAGCATAAAATCTATAGGGGAAGGAAAGAGGGGTAGGGGTCGTCCTCGAAGGGTTGGAAAGAGGGGGTAAAGGAGGTTTTGTGGGTGAGGGGCTTGGATTTCCCAGCAAGCGTGCGTGAGCGTGTTAGATAGGAGTGAATGGAGACGAATGTACTTGGGACCTGACGATCTGTTGGAGTGTGAGCAGGGTAATATTTAGTGAAGGGATTTCAGGGAAACCGTTATTTTCATATAGTCGGACTTGAGTCCTGGAAAATGGGAATAAAATGCCTGCATTTTTAAAGGAGGGGTTTTGGGATATTGCAGTTTGGAGGGATATGTTGTGTATCTCTATACATATATGCTTCTAAACTGTTGTATTCTGAGCACCTCTGCAAAAGCATGATAATGTGTGAGTGTGGTGAAAGTGTTGAATGATGATGAAAGTATTTTTTTTTTGGGATTTCTTTCTTTTTTTTTTTTGGGTCACCCGGGCCTCGGTGGAGACGGCCGACTTGTTGAAAAAAAAAAAAAAAAAAAATGTAAAAACAAGGATGAACAAGGAGGCTTTAGGAAGGGTGGGGGGTGTGTGGACCAGGTGTTTACAGTAAAACATATAAGTGAACAGTATTTATATAAGGCTAAAGAGGTCTTTGTGGCATTTAGGATTTGGAAAAGGCGTATGACAGGGTGATAGGGGGGCAATGGGGCAGATGTTGCAGGTGTATGGTGTAGGAGGTAGGTTACTGAAAGCAGTGAAGATTTTTTTTACGAGGATAGTGAGGCTCAAGTTAGAGTAGTGGGAAAGAGGGAAATTATTTCCCAGTAAAAGTGGGCCTTAGAGAGGATGTGTGATGTCACCGTGGTGTTTAATATATTTATGAGGGGTTGTAAGAGAAGTAAATGCGAGGGTCTTGGCAAGAGGCGTGGAGTTAAAAGATAAAGAATCACACACAAAGTGGGAGTTGTCACAGTTGCTCTTTGCTAAAGACACGTGCTCTTGGGAG